AAAGAAATAACCTCATATTTTCATCTGTATGATAAGTTTAAAAATAAGGGCATAAGTTTATCATTCCAATGTTCATCAGGTGTTCATAGTTACAATGTTCATCACGTGTTCATAATTCTGAAGTTCATCACGTGTTCGTAATTCCAATGTTCATCAGGTGTTCATAGTTACAATGTACATCAGGTGTTCATAGTTACAATGTTCATCACGTGTTCTTAATTACAATGTTAAGTACGTTGTTCACAATTTCTATGTCCGTAAAGTTGTTCACAATCTTCATTGCTCATTACGATGTTCATCACGTGTTCTTAATTCCAATGTTCATCACGTGTTCTTGATTCCGATGTTCATCACCAGTTCATAATTCCAATGTTCATCACGTGTTCATAATTCAAATGTTCATTACGTGTTCTTAATTCCGATGTTCATCACGTGTTCTTAATTCAAATGTTCATCACGTGTTCATAATTCCAATATTCATCACCAGTTCATAATTCCGATGTTCATCACGTGTTCATAATTCAAATGTTCATCACGTGCTCATAATTCCAATATTCATCACCAGTTCATAATTCCGATGTCCATCAAGTGTTCTTCATTCCAATGTTCATCACGTGTTCATAATTCCAATATTCATCACCAGTTCATAATTCCGATGTTCATCACGTGCTCATAATTTCAATATTCATCACCAGTTCATAATTCCGATGTTCATCACGTGTTCTTCATTCCAATGTTCATCACGTGTTCATAATTCCAATATTCATCACCAGTTCATAATTCCAATGTTCATTACGTGTTCTTAATTCCATTGTTCATCACATGTTCATAATTCCAGTGTTCATCAAACGTTCATAGTTACAATGTCCATTACGCGTTCATAATTCAAATGTTCATCACGTGTTCATAATTCCGATATCCATCACGTGTTCTTAATTCTGATGTTCATCACGTGTTCATAATTCTAATGTTCATCATGCGTTCATAATTTCTTTGTTCATTATGTTGTTAACAATTCAGATGTTCACGGCATTGTTCACAACTTCCATAACGGCTCTACGATCTTCACCAATTTTATGGTCACTTTGTTGTTTTCAGTTTAAAAGCCTATTGCTGTGTTCTAAATTCAAATGTTCATTACGTGTTCTTAATTCCGATGTACTTCAGGTTGTTCACAGTTCCGAAAACTGTGGTGTTCACATTTCTTTCTAATGTTCACCATCTTTTCATGATTCTGGGCAATAGAAAGCTGGACATGTTAGTTCAGTTGGCGTTTACCTTGTTCACGTGTGTGGGCGTGTATTTACTTGCATTCATTCAAATGGCGGGTGTCGTTAATGAAGCAGAAGAAGCTTAATTATCCGGAACACCTGGTCTTATTATCCATATCCTTTTTCAGGAGTCTCTGTAAATCTTACCTTTCTTCATATTTTGCTCTAGTTTGATTGGATTTGGGTTTGGATTCTGTTCACATGTAAGTATTTTCTTCTTATCTAAATTGTACATGAGGTGTTTAGATTGTTTATGTTTGTTTTGTTGACAATAATCATTACGTTCATTATGTCCTAATTCAGCCTTTCTGTCTTGTCTAATGTCCAGCTATGTTGCCTGTCTGGAGGATCGGAACTTTTCAGAAGACGTCTATGACAGCTACCAAGCACAAGGAGGCCTCGGAATGACCACGAGTGCGAATGATCAGTGCCAGTTAGCGTTTGGATCTGGGTCCACGTTCTGTGGTGTAAGTGTTATTACCTCACCAGATCAACATCTGACATAGAGCTTGGTAATCGGACATTGTATGCCCCCAGTATGACATGTGTATGTCCTTTCGTTAGCTCACTGATGACGACGTATTTGAGTAAATAACACGTCTTTGTGGTTTTCTGTCGATATAACCGAGGGTTCTATTAAGTGAGTTATAGTGGTTTGTATAAAAGTAGGAACAGACCAACGAAATGCTTTGAATTCAACTTGGTCTTCGAATTATTCGAGATAACGAGGTTCGGCTTTATATATTTCAGATATATATAAGATAGGAGATTTGAATATTACGAAACAGGCGAGTATGATGCAGTGTATACTTTGATAATACAATGAACACTTCGTAGCTGTCGTCGAGAGTTGCTTTAGCCAAAATTTAAGTTACGAGTTGGTTATTTAAACCAAAGAAAATACTTGATTCACTCTATAATACAGACCCAGAACGAGGCGGTATGTTATGAAGGACTGGATTGCACTAATCCAAGCACCGGCACGTGTGACCAGGTTATCTATGCTCTTGAAGGAAGCATGTGTAATTCTGTGGGATCCCCTGCAGCTGTAAGTATAATTTATTTGCGATCAATTCGATCAGAAACTGCCAAACAATTCCACGAACTTGACACACTTTATCTTTCACAACATCGTACATTGTAAACGTGATTTCCCCTTAAAATACACTCCATTAAAGACATCTGTGTGGACATTTACCAGACATTTACGATATACAAATACAAAAGCGTTCCGGGTTTTAAGATTTATGAAGAACTGCAATGGTTAGTCAAGTATTGGAAAGGCCCGTGTAAAACTTCAGTAAAAAATACTAAAAAGTACTCAGAGTATAGATAACTGAGAAACTAAATCAGGTTAGGGCAGTAGTGAAACATGAATATCGAGTTATGAGTGTTCTTATAAAGAAGTTCGAGTGTAAATTACTCTTCATTGATATCGAGTTATGGGTGTTCTAAAGAAAGAAGTTTGAGTGTATATCACTGTCCAATATTTATATTAAGATAAAAGTGTTCTACATAAAGAAGTTTGAGAGTATATAAATGTCCAACATTGATAGCGAGTTAAGGGCGTTTTGTATAAAGATGTTTGAGTGTATATCACTGTCCAACACTGATATCGAGCTATGAATGTTCTACATCAAGACGTTTGAGTGTATCTTTCTGTCCAACATTGATGTCGAGCTATGAGTGTTCTACATAAAGAAGTTTGAGTGTAAATCACTGTTCAACACTGATATCGAGTTATGAGTGTTCTACATAAAGAAATTTGAGTGTAAATCACTGATCAACATTGATATCGAGTTATGAATGTTTTACATAGGGAGTTTTGAGTGTATATAAATGTCCAACACTGATATCGAGTTATGAGTGTTCTACATAAAGAAGTTGGAGTGTAAATCACTGCTCAACATTGATATCGAGTTATGAATGTTTTACATAGGGAGTTTTGAGTGTATATTACTGTCCAACATTGATATCGATTTCTGAACGCTCTATATAAAGAAGTTGGAGTGTATATAAATGTACACCATTGATATCGAGTTATAAGTCTTATACATTTGAAAGTTTGAGTGTAAATTACTGTTCAACATTGATGTCGAGTTATGAATGTTATACATTAAGAAGTTTGAGTGTAAATAACTGTCCAACATTGATATCGAGTTGTGGGTGTTCTATATATAGAACTTTGAGTGTATATCACTTTACAAGACTGATATCGAGTTATCGGTAATCTATATAAAGAAGTTTGATTGTATATCACTATCTAACATTGATATCGATTTAATAGTGTTCTACATAAAGAAGTTTGTGTGCAAATTATTCTCAAACATTGATATCGAGTGATGAATGTTTTACATCAAGAAGTTTGAGTGTATGTCGCTGTTTAACATTGATATCTAAATATGGGTGTTCTACATGAAGAAATTTGATTTTATATCATTGACCAACATTTATTTCGAGTAATGAGTGTTCTACATAAAGAAGTTTGAGTTTATATTTTGCCCAACATTGATACTGAGTTATGAGTATTCTACATAAAGAGGTTTGAGAGTATATTTCTGTCAAACATTGATATTGAGTTATGAGTATTCTACCTAAAGAGGTTTGAGTGTATATAACTGTCCAACATTGATATCGTGTTATGGATGTTCTACATAAAGAAGTTGGTATGTATATAAATGTACACCATCTATATAAAATTATGGGTGTTCTATAAGAAGAAGTTTGATTGTATATCACTGTTCAACATTAATATCGATTTATTGGTGTTCTATATAAAGAAGTTTGATTGTATATCACTGTTCAACATTGATGTCGAGTTATAACATTCATAACTCGACATCAATGTTGAACAGTGATTTACAATCAACCTTCTTCATGTTATATCAGTATATCAGTGTCCAACATTGATATCGAGTTATGAGTGTTCTACATTTAAGAAAGTTGAGTGTATATTACTGTCCAACATTGACATCGAGTTATGGGAGTTCTACATAAAGAAGTTGGGGTGTATATAAATGTACACTATCAATATCGAGTTATGGGTGTTCTATATAAAAATGTTTGAGTGTATATCACTGTCCAACACTGATACCGAGTTATCGGTGACCTATATAAAGAGTGTTTGATTATATATCACTATCAAACATTAATATCGAGTTATGGGTGTTCTATATATATAGAAGTTTGAGTGTATATCACTGTCCAACATATATGTCGAGTGATGGATGTTTTGTATATAGACGTTCGTTTGTATACCACTATCCAACATTGATATCAAGTTATGATTGTTCTACATAAAGACGTTTGTGTGCAAATTACTGTCCAACATTGATATCGAGTTATAGGTTTTGTACATCAAGAAGTTTGAGTGTATATTTCTGTCCAACATTGATATTGAATTATGAGTGTTCTACATAAAGATGTTTGAGTGTATATCACTGTCCATCATTGACATTGAGTTATGTATGTTACATATGATATATAGTTTGTGTTCTATATGAAATATTTGTATTTCTGCTATATTCAGACAAATCATATGATATAAGCAGTAGGCGTTCGTCATTTCGCATTGCATCGGTTTTAATAACCATGGCGGAATTCATTCAGTTACTTGCTTTTGGTTGTATATAAGATGACAACGAGCATAATTTCAATGATAGCAAAAAATAATTCTTTCATAAAATGTATCTTGATAACTCGAAGTGTTCTTTACATTATGACATCAAGCTATTGTATTTCTTTTTCTCTTAAGTATTGCTTTGAAGGGGTATGCGACGTTGTAACGACAACATCCCCAACTACAACTACAACCACAACACCTTCAACAACAACCACAACACCCTCAACTACAACAACAACACCTTCAACAACAACCACAACACCCTCAACTACAACAACAACACCTTCAACAACAACCACAACACCCTCCACTACAACAACAACACCCTCAACTACAACCACAACACCTTCAACAACAACCACAACACCTTCAACTACAACCACAACACCTTCAACAACAACCACAACACCCTCAACTACAACAACAACACCCTCAACTACAACAACAACACCTTCAACAACAACCACAACACCCTCCACTACAACAACACCCTCAACTACAACCACAACACCTTCAACAACAACCACAACACCCTCAACTACAACCACAACACCTTCAACTACAACAACAACACCTTCAACTACGACCACAACACCCTCAACTACAACAATAACACCCTCAACTACAACTACGACACCATCAAATACAACCACAACACCCTCTACTACAACAACGACACCCTCAACTACAACAACAACTCCCTCAACTACAACCACAACACCTTCAACTACAACCACAACACCTTCAACTACAACTACCACTCCTTCAACTACAACTACGACACCCTCAACTACAACCACAACACCCTCTACTACAACAACGACACCCTCAACTACAACCACAACACCCTCAACTACAACAACAACACCTTCAACAACAACCACAACACCCTCAACTACAACCACAACACCTTCAACTACAACAACAACACCTTCAACTACAACCACAACAACCTCTACTACAACAACGACACCCTCAACTACAACTACAACACCCTCAACTACAACAACACCCTCAACTACAACTCCCACTCCCTCCACTACAACAACAACACCCTCAACTACAACCACAACACCTTCAACAACAACCACAACACCCTCAACTACAACCACAACACCTTCAACTACAACCACAACACCTTCAACTACAACTACCACTCCCTCAACTACAACTACGACACCCTCAACTACAACCACAACACCCTCTACTACAACAACGACACCCTCAACTACAACAACAACACCCCCAACTACAACAACAACACCTTCAACAACAACCACAACACCCTCAACTACAACCACAACACCTTCAACTACAACAACAACACCTTCAACTACAACCACAACACCCTCAACTACAACAACGACACCTTCAACTACAACAACAACACCCTCAACTACAACAACACCATCAACTACAACTCCTACTCCCTCAACTACAACCACAACACCTTCAACTACAACCACAACACCTTCAACTACAACTACCACTCCCTCAACTACAACTACGACACCCTCAACTACAACAACAACACCCTCTACTACAACAACGACACCCTCAACTACAACCACAACACCCTCAACTACAACCACAACACCCTCTACTACAACAACGACACCCTCAACTACAACCACAACACCCTCAACTACAACAACGACACCTTCAACTACAACAACAACACCATCAAGTACAACCACAACACCTTCAACTACAACAACGACACCTTCAACTACAACAACAACACCATCAACTACAACCACAACACCTTCAACTACAACAACGACACCTTCAACTACAACAACAACACCATCAACTACAACCACAACACCCTCAACTACAACAACACCATCAACTTCAACTACAACACCTTCAACTACAACTACATCATCCTCAACTACAACCACAACACCCTCAACTACAACCACAACACCCTCAACTACAACAACAACAACAACACCTTCAACTACAACTACAACGCCGTCAACCATGACAACTGCAAATCCTGATCCCGATTGTAATACAGGCATAACCACTACAACCGTGTTCTTTGCTAGTCAGGTCTTCGCCTCCACCTCCACTACTTACAAGGGACCTGTTTACCCTGGTTATATACCTTCCCCACCAATTGTACCTCCAGCACCACCCGCTCCCCCAAACCCACCACCTGTGCCACCAAGACCACCATTGCCTCCTAGACCCCCAGGTCCATATCCACGTCCTGGGCCTTATCCTACTGTAGGTCCATACCCAACGAAAGATCCTTACCCAACGAAATATCCTGATTACAACCCTAATCCTGGTCGTAAAGGCTTGCATCCTCCATACCCTGGCCCCCCAGGATCCAGACCTAATTACCGGTCACGAAATAGAAAATGTTCCTCTAAGAATTCCACGAAACCATATCGTAGCATTCGTAAAAACGATGTAAACGATGAAACGGACGGAGGAGATGAGGAAGAAGAGAAGGAGAAAGGAGACGTAAATGAAAACCCCATGGACTTTAGTCTGGTGTCCAAACTGATGAATCTTCCTGGCATAGGAATACTTCTGCCTCAAAACACTCATCAACAACCCAAAAGTAACGGGTTTTTGTCAAGAATGAAAGAATTTTCTAATGGCCACGAGGTGGATACTTTGTGAAACAAATCCTGTGAACAAGAATATCGCCATAAACCTCAGTATATTCTGATTTCTCGGGCAATGTGATCAAACTACATTTTGTTAAAGGCTCGATTATCAAATTATACATTTAAAACATAAATTCCAATGCTTTCTTTCTATTTTCATTGAAAGGATGTAAACATTTTGAACGTATTGTTCATATGAATGCAAACAAGGACATCCCCGCTATAAGCGATCAGATGTTACCTATATTAGTTATTTCTGACAGTGTTAAAGCTGATTTGTTAAGTATTAAGATTGTATTATAGTGTGGACCATTGATATTGAACTGCAGTAAAATAACGAGGAAAACCACATGATCAATTAGACATACGTTAGAATGGCGACTAAAGAGGTTCATGTTCTCAATATATCAACAACGCGTTTGCGTCTTTTGCACCTTTAATAAACGAGAAAATTGGCCTGTGAAAATCAAAATTGATCGTTTATCTATACTATACCATGACACTTACTGTTGAACCTTAAATAAATGCAATTTATTGATGAATGGTGTACTTCCTTTCTCAAAGGATACTGGCAATGTAAGTTTGGTACAGACAGAATAATTCAAAATGAAAGAAACCATCAAATTGTTTCGCTATTGGCATTTTAAAATTATTAACAAACTATTGTATAGTTTATAGGTTTTTTTTCTTACTAAAAGTAATATCGAGTTATGGGGTTTCACCAAAGACACTGAATTAAAGATCAAATTTCACTACAAATGAAGACTTGAATGCAGTTAGACTAAAGCGACGAGAAAAATACCAATAATTTCACGCTTATACCGCATTAGGGATAACAAAAATCAATCACGTCCAGCTTTGTACCGCATTAGGGATAACGAACATCAAACTCGTCAAGCTTTATACCGCATTAGGGATAACGAACATCAAACTCGTCCAGCTTGATACCACTTTAGGGATAACGAACATCAAACAATTCCAGCTTTCTACGGCATTAGGGATAAAGAACATCAAACACGTCCAGCTTTATACCGCATTAGGGATAACGAACATAAAACTCATCCAGTTGTATACCGCATTAGGGATAACGAACATCAAACACGTCCAGTCGTATACCGCATTAGGATAACGAACATCAAACACGTCCACCTTTATAACGCATTAGGGATCAAACACATCCAGCTTTATACCGCATTAGGGATAATAAGCATCAAACACGTCAAACTTTATAAAACATTAGGGATAACTAACATCAAACTCGTCCAGCTTTATACCGCATTAGGGATAACTAAACATAAAACACAAGATCCAGCCAGATAAACCGCTTTAGGGATAACAAGCATCAAACACGTCCAGCTTTATACTGCATTAGGGATAACGAAAATCAAACTAGTCCAGCTTTAAACCGCATTAGGGATAACGAACATCAAACACGTCCAGCATTATACCGTTTTAGGGATAACGAACATCAAACACGTTAAACTTTCTACCACATTAGGGATAACGAGCATAAAACTCATGCAGCTTGTATTCCGTTATTAGGGATAACGAACATCAAACACGTTCAGCTTTATACGCCATTAGGGATAACGAAAATCAATCAGGTCCAGCTTTAAACCGCATTAGGGATAACGAACATCAGAAACGTCTAGATTTCTACCACATTAGGGATAACGAGCATCAAACGCGTGCAGCTTTATACCGTTATAGGGATAACGAACATCAAACACGTCCAGCTTTATACCGCATTAGGGATAACGAACATCCAACACATCCAGCCGTATACCGCATTAGAAATAACGAACATCAAACACGTCCAGCTTTATACCGCATTAGGGATAACGAACATCAAACACGTCCAGCTTAGGGATACCGCAGCTTTTACCGGGATAACGAACATCAAACACGTCCAGCTTTATACCGCATTAGGGATAACGAACATCCAACACATCCAGCCGTATACCGTATTAGAAATAACGAACATCAAACACGTCCAGCTTTATACCGCATTAGGGATAACGAACATCCAACACGCTTTATACCACCTTTACATCAAACCGCATTAGGGATAACTAACATCAAACTCGTCCAGCTTTATACCGCATTAGGGATAACTAACAGCAAACTTGTTCAGCTTTATACCGCATTAGGGATAACGAACAACAAACACGTCCAGCTTTATAGCATTTAACGAACATACCGCATTAGGGATAACGAACATCAAACACGTTCAGCCTTATACAACATTAGGGATAACGAAAATCAAACTAGTCCAGCTCTATACCGCATTAAGGATAACAAACATCAAACACGTCCAGCTTTATACCGCTTTAGGAATAACGAACATCAAACACGTCCAGCTTTATACGGCATTAGGGATAACGAACATCAAACATTAGGAATAACGAATACCAAACTCGTCCAGCTTTTTATCGTTTTAATAATATCAAGCATCAAACACATTCAGCTTTATACCCCATTAGGGATAACAAGCATCAAAGATATTCAGCTTTATACCACATTAGGGATAACGAACATCAAACACGTCCAGCTTTATACCACATTAGGGATAACGAACATCAAACACGTCCACCTTTATACCGCATTAGGGATAACGAACATCAAACATGATTAGCTTCATACCGTATTAGGAATAACGATCATCAAACTCGTCCACCTTTACACCGTATTATGGATAATGAACATCAAACTCGTCCACCTTTATACCGCATTAGGGATAACTAACAGCAAACTTGTTCAGCTTTATACCGCATTAGGGATAACGAACAACAAACACGTCCAGCTTTAAACCACATTAGTGATAACAAATATCAAACACATGCAGTCGTATACCGCATTAGGATAACGAACATCAAACAAGTCCAGCTTTATACCGCATTGGGGATAACGAACATCACACACGTCCAGCATTATATTGCACTAGGGTTATCGATCTTCCAAGTCTTCCAGCTCTATACCGTCTTTTGGATAACGAACATCAAACACGTCCAGCTTTATACCGCATTAAGGATAACAAACATCAAACACGTCCAGCTTTATACCGCTTTAGGAATAACGAACATCAAACACGTCCAGCTTTATACGGCATTAAGGATAACAAACATAAAAAAACGTCCAGATTTATACGGCATTAGGGATAACGAACATCAAACACGTCCAGCTTAATACCACATTAGGAATAACGAACATCAGAAACGTCTAGCTTTATACCACATTAGGGATAACGAGCATCAAACGCGTGCAGCTTTATACCGTTATAGGGATAACGAACATCAAACACGTCCAGCTTTATACCGCTTAACGGATAACGAATATCAAACACGTCCAGCTTTTAACCCCTTTAGGGATAACGAACATCAAACACGTCCAGCTTAATACTGCATTAGGGATCACACGCATCTAACACGTGTAGCTTTATACCGCATTAGAAATAACGAACATTAAAATCGTCCAGCCTTATACCGCATTAGGGGTAACGAACATCCAACACGTCCAGCCGTATACCGCATTAGGATAACGAACATCAAACACGTCCAGCTTTATACCGCATTAGGGATAACTAACATCAAACACGTCCAGCTTTATACCGCATTAGGAATAACGAACATCAAACACGTCAAGCCTTATACCGCATTAGGGATAACGAATTTCAAACTCGTCCAGATTTATATCGTTTGAGCGATAACAAGAATCAAACACTTCCAGCTTTATTCCGCAATAGGGTTCGCAAGCATCAAACACGTTCAGCTTTATTCCGCATTAGAGATAACTAACATCAAACTCGTCCAGCTTTATACCGCATTAGGGATAACGAACATCCAACACGTCCAGCCGTATACCGCATTAGAAATAACGAACATCAAACACGTCGAGCTTTATACCGCATTAGGGATAACGAACATAAAACTCATCCAGTTGTATACCGCATTAGGGATAACGAACATCAAACACGTCCAGCTTTATACCGCATTAGGGATAACGAACATAAAACTCATCCAGTTGTATACCGCATTAGGGATAACGAACATCAAACACGTCCAGTCGTATACCGCATTAGGGATAACAAACATTAACCACGTCCAGCTTTATACTGCCTTAGGGAACATCAAACGTCCAACAACGAACATCAAACACGTCGCATTAGGGATAAGAACATCAAACACGTCCAGCTTTATACCGCATTGGGGATAACGAACATCAGATACGCCCAACTTCATACCGCATTAGGGATAACAAAAATCAATCACGTCCAGCTTTGTACCGCATTAGGGATAACGAACATCAAACACGTCCAGCTTTATACCTCAAACACCTCCAGATTTATACCGCCTTAGGGATAACGAACATCAAACACGTCCAGCTTTATACGGCATTAGGGATAACAAACATCAAACACTTCCAGCTTTATACCGTCTTAGGGATAACGAACATCAAACACGTCCAGCTTTATACAGCATTAAGGATAAGAAACATCAAAAACGTCCAGCAAACACGTCCAGCTTTATACCGCATTAGGGATAACGGGATAACGTCCAACATAACGAAACAGCTTTATACCGCATTAGGGATAACGAACATCAAAGCAGCTTTATACCACATTAGGGATAACGAACACCAAACACGTTCAGCTTTATACGCCATTAGGGATAACGAAAATCAATCAGGTCCAGCTTTAAACCGCATTAGGGATAACGAACATCAAACACGTCAAGCTTTATACCGCATTAGGGATAACGAACATCAAACACAGCTTTATACCGCATTCATAACACGTAACACGATAACGAAAATCAAACAGCAGCTTTATACCGCATTAGGGATAACAAACATTAACCACGTCCAGCTTTATACTGCCTTAGGGCTAGCGAATATCAAACACGTCCAGTTTTATACGACATTAGGGATAACAAACATCAAACACGTCTAGCTTTATATGGCAATTAGGGATAACGAACATCACAAACGTCAAGCCTTACACCACTTTAGGGATAA